AATTATTGCAGAACCTCACTGAAAAGGACAAAATCCTCCGTCACTCATTCTGTATGGACATGTGGCAACGGAATGAAGGAAGTAATGATTTCTTGTCGTATTACAATAGGGTCACATATAGAACACGTGTAACTTACCTATGTAAACTTCAGGGCGTACTTTACAAACCATGTAAGTATCTCGGTCATGCTACTAAAACTCTTCTTTCTGTAAAATTTTGAAAGTGTCTATTTCTTTTAGGCTAACCCTGTATTTCAAGTTTTGTTGCAGATACTGAATGTCTGTCTATGTTTAACAGTAGGTAATTGTATACACATATGTTGTTGCATTCAATTTTTACAGCTGTTGAAATTTGTTAAACTTACTTCTTCATATTTTTAAAACCATGTTTCTTAAATCTGTATTTCAAGTAAAATAAGTAGGGAGGTAATATGGGCAGCCCATGTCAGTTAGTATGTTAGTAAGTGAAATAGAAATTAAATCTAAACATAATGCAACTGAGCATTTCAGATGTTGCATTAGTCCATTTTTCTTCGAATCACTATACTCACACAATCCTTTCTGTAGAGTAGTTCCTTTTGGTAGGGGCCTTATTATAATCATAATACATGAAGGCTGGGTTATTAAGTTGTTGAAGTATGCAGTTATAGTACACATTATCTGAGGTTTTCACGGCAGTGAAAATTAGAATGTTTCTCTCCTAGGTCATAGAACTGTGTAGTATTGTAAGTTGCCACCAATATTTTGGTGGAGTCTGCAGCTTCCATCTTCAGGAAAGAAGGACCCAAGTCTATCTGGAATGTGAATAGGTTAGGGAGGATGGGTAGCCAGTAAAAATGGGGAAAATGAAAGATTCCAACAGGGGCCACTATATGGAAGGCCCTACAAAAATGTGACTGAAGAAATGAATAAAATCTCTCTCAAAGGATAAGGCAAGCATTTTCACTTGACTTTGCTCATGGCCATTATGAGGACCTTCCTTGGAAGAGACCCATTTGTAGGACCTTCCTTGAATGCTGCCCCTTTTTAGAGCCTTTCTTTGAAACTGCAGTTATCTGCGCCATTCTTGAATTTGCTCTTCTGTAGGGCCCTCCTTGAAAAATGCTCTTTGGCAGTGCCTTCTTAAAAAGTTGCTGCTTTGCAGGACTTCCCTTATAAGTTGCCTTCCCAGAGTCTTTTTTAAAATTGGCACTATTAGAATCTGTCATGTTCTTTGTTTCCAATAGCTACACTTCCTATATAGGATGTAAACAAATATAGATTACAACGCTCTGTGGTAGATAGATGGGTTCAATCTGACAACATTTTTTAATACACCAATGTCTGGAAATGCTTCCTTTTGGCACTAATGGTCACAAAATTTTCTGAGAGGATGCATAAGTTTTAAGGGATATTATTGCTGTTTTACATTATAAAAGTTACTCAAAATGGTGGCTGCCAACTTCATTGTATGTTCTGCACCGCCTGATAATGTTATGCTGAACTCTTGGAAAGATTCCCGTCATTTCCCGGACGGTTCCAGCTGCTACTGCAATTCTTGCCACAAGATCATGTTGTGTCTCCACTGGAGTCTTGTACACCAGGCTTTGCGTGTACCCCCAGAGAAAGATATCCCATGGAGTCAAGTCCGAGGAGTAAGGGGGCCAGGTTATTGGGCCTCCATGTGCAATCCATCAGTTGCCAAAGGTTTCTTCCAAATACTCACGGACGACATTAGCGGAGTGTGCTGGGCACAATCATGGTGGAACCACATAACTTCCAGTAGTTCAGGTAAGATCTCTTGGAGAAATATTAAGTAAATGTCACCGGTAAGCCACAGAGGTAAGAGGTAAGGGCTGAATAGATGGTCATCAATAACCCCTGCCCACACATTGATGGCAAAGCAGTGTTGGTAGCTTTGGATATGCTTCGCGTTAGGATTTTCTTGATCCCACACATGGCTGTTTCTGGAGTTGAAAATGACGTTCTTGGTAAAGATATACTCATAAGAAAAGAAGATAAAGCATAGGAAGTGAGGTACCTGTACAGTTTGTCTGAGCAGCCATCGAAAAATATTGACACCAGGAGTGAAGTCATTCGGTCCCATCGCCTGCACCTTCTGGAGGTGGTAGGGGTGAAGTTGCTCATCGTGCAGAACTTGAGATACTGATAAGTTTACACCTAGGGTTTGTGCAACGCTTCAGATACTAGTATCAGGCTGTTCTTCAAAAAGCTGGATTGCTGCTTCTTCAAAGTCTGGTGTGTGGCTCCTCTGCACACATCCACAGGGGTGTTTGATAGGACTCAAGCTGTCTGTTTCACGCTGTTTCCGATACTTCTGAGTCCTATGTATTGCTTGCCTACTGGCATCCTCCTTCATATTTCAGAGGCCCTAGTGCATAAAAAGTGTTTCCTGACATTGGTATATTAACAAAATATGATCAGACTGAACCCATCTATCTACCACAGAGAGTTGTAACATATAGTTCTTTACACTCTGTATAACATACCCACATCCCAATTTGCCTCACTTCTACCCTGAAGATGGAGATAGCAGGTTCATATATACAACCCAGAGGATCACAGTCTGTAATCAGACTATTTCTCTTATGCAAAATGCCTTACTAACTTGTTTTATTCTCATATGTGAAATGTTTTATTTGATTGCAATCACAGTTTGCTATGCAGTGTTGCAGTTCAAAACATTTTTTTATACAAGACACCTCATTCCTTCTTCGGTCCAGATCTTGTGAGTACAAAGAAAGGAAAGTCTTGAATGTGACATTATTATAATTATTATTATTGTTATTATGTAGTTGTTGCTGTTAAGATTACTCTCACTTCGAGCTGACAGCAGAACTTTAAAAGATAACACATACCCAACAGGTCTATCCAACTGAATACACAATTAACTGATATGTGTCAGCCTTCTCCCCCCTCAGTTCTCATTACTTGAACTGGAAAGTTATGAAGTGAATATCACCAGCACTTTCTGCATTAGGTGCATGATGCTATACAGATATCTCTTGTATCTGAACACGCTTCTTCACTGTACCCCCACTGCTGGTAGATGTGGATCTGACAGGAGGCACTGGTGTCGAGCTGGGGGCTTCAGAGCCCTGAGGGGCCGACTGTCTTGGGGGTGGAGGGGGCTCAGGGATGGATGGACTCTTGGCAACCGTTGTGTAGGAGGGGGGTGGCTCATGCACTTTAATGATGTGAGCAGTCGGTGCTGGAGAGGAGGTGTCAGATGTGGACTGAGACTGCTGGGGTCTGTGCGACAAGGGAATGCCTTCAGAAGACGCTGATGATGATGAGCCAGAAGGGGTTGAGTGTCTCCTGCGGTCCCGGTCACGCTGGTAGTAAATCCCTGCGAAGATGAGCATGTTGAGCACCAGAAGAAGACATCCAACTCCAATAGTGACTCCCAGGGCTGCCGTATAACTGTAATAGTGCCTTGTGGCCAGTCTCTGAAGAAGTCCAGCTTCGTCGTCATCATCTTCTTCCTCAGAGCGACGCATCAGATCTTCTTCTGAAGTAGAATTAGGGAGACATTCTGTTCCTAGTGCCGAACCGCTAGGGTTATGAGGTCCTGCAGATGTTGCTGGGTGAAGCGGTGGAGGCAGCCGAGTGTAGGACTCTGGCCGGACCACCCCTGCAACACAACACGAAGACGCCAAACCAACAGTGGTATCTTACATTGAGGGAAGGAACTAACCTATAAGTGTCTGATTTGGGTGTAAGGCAATTTGCATGATAAGAAACTATGAAGTTAGTACAGGTCAACCAGCAGGGGCATGTTGTAACGTAGTTAGCTGAGGCATTATGTCACAAGCCGAAAGTCGCGGTTTCGATTCCCAATGAGGTTACTGATTTTTTTAAATTCACCTAATTCTTCTAGCTGCACTATGGCCCTGGGTTCGACTAAGCCTCTAACAGAAATGGGTATCAGCAAACCTCTTGGGGTATAAAGGGAGGCCTGCACGTAAAGCTGACAACCTTACAGCCATCTGTGAGCCGATTGTCTAGAAACTGAGGGAGCCTCAACGTCTCACAATACTATGGGCCTCCAGAGCCTGTGACAGGGATAGCTTTCCATTTCCTTTTTCTTTTTACAGGTCAAACAGCATTAGTACATCAATATTGTACTGAACACATACACCTCACTGTGTAAGGTTCCTGTACTTTTTAATTCGTTTAGTGGGGGTTGGAGTCCAACTGGATCCACTCGGCACGGCGGCCACCGATTGGCCTATTGTAGCCTGCCCTGGGTGATTATGATGCTGGAGAATTTGGTGGAATGAAGATTGGCAGGGGAAACTGAAGTACTCGGAGAAAACCTGCCCCAGCGCCACTTTGTCCACCACAAAAAGATCCCCACGGCCTTCTGGGATTGTAAACGTTAAGAGGACCAAAGGGCAACAATGATGAACATTTTGTCTGAGAACAGCAAAGAAGAATAGCCAAAGTCAGTTACAGAGCTCTTAAAGCTAGAAGAAAAAATTTCTGTAACGCGCCTGTTGCTTCATAAACAACATTCCTATATTTATATAAAGCAGATATGTAAGAAAAGTAAAAGAAGTAATTGTACTGATTATTAACAGTATACTTTCAGATTTAAGTTCAGATCTATATTAAGAATCGCGGGGAGATCTCTGTAATGGAATAAGATATTTATAAGAATGTGCTACATAAGGCCAGTTGGGCATTGCCTAGGCCTTCTTTGCATTTAAAATAACATTTTTTTTTTCACAATAAAAATCACCACGGCCGTTAATTTCGATTTTCTAGACAGGAGCCGATATTTTTCCATTCAAGTAGGTCCTCAGTTATCCTTACTACGCCGAGTGGACCCCGTTCCAGACCCACTACTTCTCAGAAAATCTGGTATCGCCAGGAATCGAACCCGAGATCTCTGGATCTGTAGCCAAGAACTCTGACCACTAGTCCACAGTTAGAAAACGAAGCAAAAGAAAATATCTTAACATCAGTGATCTCTTATATTCAGGATTTCCGACTATGCTACATATTCAACCCATCTCACTTATGATTTTATAAGACTAAAATATTCTGTGATGATATAAAATATGAAGCCCCGCATTATGCACCATTTCTCCATCCATGCAAGCACTTTCCCCAGCGCCCTGCTCTCAGGCAGTCGCAATCTGTGAAGGGTATGTTCTTCTGGGAAATGACGACGCATAGTTTGGTAAAAATGTACCAATGTTTCGGAGGAATTGGCTGTTAGAGGAGCAGGTTCCTCCAACAGGGCATTAGGCTGACTAGTTGTTAATTAATTGGAAAGTAGTAGGAAGAAACACTCGGGACCTAATTTGAGGTACTGCGCCGGCACTGACTCGGAGGAGCACAGATGGAGCAGTATTTGTAAACATTTGGATATGAGGGAGAAAGTAACAAGGGGCTTGAGAAAATGCATGGCGAGACACACAACAATTTGCACTCTTCGCCAAGCTTAACCAAGATGATTGCATATATATATATATATATACTAGCGGTACCGGGCCACGCGTTGCTGTGGCTCAGTCTGGTTAAATGGAAAAGAAAGAAAAGAGAAAGCGCACGTTTCTAATACGTTTAATTTCACAATGCTTGTGTGTATGCAATATTTTTTGTTGTTCCATTGTCTGTGCAGATATAGAGATTGTCTGGTTTGCCGACTCTAGAACACGCAACATATAACTGTCCATATGAGAAGCAATCCGTGCCTAGATCTAAACCGCACAATTCTAAAGATTGGCCCTGAGTTTTGTTGATGGTGATTGCAAACTCCAATCGAATTAGGAATTGCAATCTCTTAAACTGAAATGGCACATCCGTTGGAATCATAGGAATGTGAGGAATGAGGACATCTTCACCTTTGAAAGGTCCTGTCAAGATTGTTGCTTCTACGACGTTGCTCAATAATTTTTACTGCAAGCCACGTGCCGTTGCAAGGCTTTGGCTGGTTGATATTTCGCAACATGATAATTGGCACGCCTATTTTCAATTGCAGTACGTGCGGTGGCAACCCTGGCAGATCGATTGAATTAAAAAATTCTGTTGGATAATTAACCGCTTCATCTGCTTCCACAACAGTGTCGACGGACTTGTATGTGACTGCCTCGCATTGAATGTTAGACAGAATGATATTGCTAAGTTAAGCAATCGGTGAAGAACTTTCGGGGATTTAAGACTTTGAACAAGATTCGAACTCAAAACACGCTACATTGGTGTCAGAAGTGGGATTGAGCTACACACGTGACTGACAAGATTCGAACTCAAAACACGTGACAATACATTTACATTGTTATTTATTTATATGTATATATACACACACATAGAGTACATATGTGTACACGTGTTGTGGTGTATACACTTGTTGCTAAGCTTGGACTCTGTAAACAAGGACCGTTTCTGGGAAACAGCTCGGTAAACACGTTCCCGCAGCAACGAATACACACTCAACAGTAGAGTTACTGTTCAAAAAGTTTTGTTTTCTATGTGGTCCGTGCCGAAATATTATAACCATGACAGTTGGGAACTCGTGTGGAGGTGGGGTCGTATAGCTCCACAGTGACCCTGCGAGCCGTAGGAGGCTACGAAAAGGGAAGTCTCAGATCTGAGAGATTAAAATATGGTCGCGAGTCTCAAGGGACTCGAACCCGAGAAAGACTGCGCTGGCAAGGACCAGCAGCATATACAAAAGACGGACCTGTCCTCTCGTCAGAGAGGGCGCCTCACAAAAACAAGACGGTAACTGTCAAATAGTAATAAATATCTGGTCATGAGCTCCACATGGGGCTCGACACCAAGACTTACTGACTGACTGACTGACTGACTGTCAATCGCAATGTGGCTTTGACTTTGACAATGAGTTCACTTGTGAGTAACATTAGCCAGCGGGCAACGGCGTGAGCAGAGAAGCTGATGAATCTTCAATGTTGAGAACTGTTACCAAGCAACGAATAGGGACGACTATAAAAGACTGAGGCTTAGCGTGTGCTGTAATAATCTGTAGAGAGTGTAGATCAGGATAGCGCTGTAGTTGCTTGTAGTTCCGAGTTGTATGTATAACTGCTCAGTAAATCCATTCACCAATCCAAACCCCGTGTTGGAAGTAAATAACGGTGACTTATCTAAGAAAATTACTTGTTATTTATTTTCTTTTGTGAGGCATAATGTTTCAAAATAACTTTTTTGAAAATGTAAGATTTGAGGCTTTCACGGCGGTGACTATGAAGAAAGCAGTCTTCTGGCATTTGGCACCGTGTATATGTGGTGTTAACCGACGTTTCGGAGGAACGTATCGCCTCCATCTTCAGGGTAGAAGAAAAAATATAAGAAATCTGCAAGCGAAGAGACCGTGAGAAACGGTAAAAGCAGACTGCTTTTTTGAAAATGTTTCTATGTGAGAACACACGATGCAAAGCTAAATGTAAAGTTATTTCAATTTGCATCTTTCTTTTACGATAGATTCATGTAGTGCCCACTATAAGTTATAGCCATAAGGGTTCCTTAGTTGGCCGTCAGCCAAGGGGCTTTGGCCACTCTTAAAATACGGTATACTCGTATACCTATATATATATTCCGATTGAGTTGGACGGCAGCCAACAAAACACTGTTTGGGATTTTCATCTAATACACGTGCAAATTAATGGAATTTGAATTTCATTTGAAGGTTAATGTGACAGGATATATTTAGACGGTTTCAATTAATGAATGAAGTCTAAGTTTAAACTACTGAAATTCTAATGAGAGACAGATATTTATCTTTATGCGAATCAATTAATAAATTCATAATTTTGGGGCGTTTGATATGAATTGTTGTGATAAGGAAAATATACAACGAAAGACTTATCCTGGACTCAAAACTCTGTCTATGAATGCAAAAACAATGGCAAATTTCAATGACTGGGAAATTCAGTTCTAACATTCGTTTTGCAAAGTTCGTGTTCAGCGCTATAGCAAGTGACATGAAACTTATAGCGTTTTCGTAACTGCATTAAATAAATTCATGATAGTAAATGATATTATGAAACAGTTCTACAAATTTTATTCATGAAACTATTATTTAATGGTCACAATCGTATTTAAACCTTTAAAAAAATTGTAGACAGAAAGGGATTTCCTAGAATACGGTACGACGGGGAAAGCAAAGAAAGAAAATAATAATTCTGTGTGTTATACATTATCATCAGAACCCTTTAGAGTCTAGAGAAGTATTGCGTTTTGTGAGAGGTAAGTGTTGTAACCGCGCCATGCAGGAACCTCAGCAATGTTGTTGATTTACATTTTTAATTACAATGCACTACATGTAAACGAACTGTACTACTGTTAACAATAGATGATACAGAATTGACCCCAGCACCAGCAGACGCCAAGGACGACATCTGGTCTTTCTGAAGGACAAGCAAGCTGCAGGTCACTTGAAACCCCCAGAATGGAGCAGGAAGTATCCCGCTGTATTTTCTGGGAATTTCAATGCTTAACTTCGACGGTGCGAGTCTTTGAAAATTTTAGACTTGACAGATAGGAGTCGCAATAATTTTCGAAGGGGCCTACCGAGCGATCGTTAGTGTACCTTCACTTATTTGGAGCTGCCAGAAGGACCGTCTTGTACTTAGGCCCAAATTAACATGGATCTTGTTAGGGATT